TCCATAATATTATACTTTATGGTTACGATGCTTACCGGTTTCAATGCTTGTGTCTATGGGCAAGGCACCTTAGCTACGTTTGTCTATCTCCACGCAGGTATATACGCAGGTACGGTAGGACCTAATACCAAGCCCTGATTGTAGCCGCTTGTGGAATTGTGCTCCCCATAGAGCTAAAGGATGCGTTTTACTTTGGTCTAATGACCGAGGAGAATAATGCAAAGCGCATTGAGGAAGTTAATTGCTATATAAAGATCACCATATTTTCATTGTTATTATATATCTCCATGGTTATTATTATTTTTAAGTCACCCTGAACAGTTGAATTGTGATTGGAATGCTGTTGATCAAGCTTAATTTAAGCACAAGGCCGTGTTCGTTAAATTTAGGTAAGTAGTCTAATATTTACAAATCACTATTTCTATTATAATTATATAAACTTTAATATTACCTGAAAACAGAAACAAAACGAATTAGTAATTTTATCTTTTACAAGTGTGTAAATTGCCTCATGTGGTATTAATGTATGTGAATATAATATAATGTATGATATAAACCTATATTATGCCCGCCTGTCATGAAAAAATCCACTTAAATGTTAATTCACATTTTTTTTAGCTTTTCGCTTTTTCGGGATATGATACACATTGTGTGATGTATTCGGAATTTTTAAATTAAAACTGAAAATATTAACTGAACTGGCACAATAACTCTTATTTAATGTATGCCTAATAACTTGTCTTTGGAATGTCACTCAGCTGGACTGTATACTGTTTATCATGCAAAAGTTGATTATCCAATGAAAATAACTAGAGTAAAAATCTTATTTCTCATACTTTCAACATTTTGATTATCTAATTGCCATTGGTCATACCAAGTATCGCATACAGTTCCAGTTCTCAAAGTTCCAGATTTATTTTTGCTTAAAACTTGAATAGATTGTATACGCGAAAGACTAATTATACTAATGTCAACTAAAGAGGGCATTATACGAAACGTAGTAAAAAATATAGCCAGAAAACAGAAAAGCTTTCAGGAACAATGTACTTCAGACTCCCAGATCTGATTGTCAGCGTAGAATATTAAATTGGAGAAATGCAATACTATATCATATTAAAAGATGTCAAGAATTTAAACTAAAAAATACTACAAATATTAATTGTTATTTGTATATTAGAAACCAGTAGCCTGCTTATGTCCCCAAGAAAGTTAAATAAACATCGCATACATTCATGTGATCTATTTATAAAAAGAAGACATGAAAACTGATATGTTGTTGTTTAAAGTTGGTATAAGCTTGGCTTTACCTACTAAAGACCCTAAGGAGTCCTAGAACATTATTGTTTTGTGCATGAAAATAAAGCTGTAATAAGTCCCATCAACCTTATTAAATTCACACTTAACGTTATTAAAATTCTTATTTCAAAATAAAACAAATTTACATTTTACTACCTGTTGTGTATAGTTATTCAAAAAGATGAATTGTCTTTGGACAAAACACAAAATAGGTCTACGTAAGGCAAAGGAACTAAGTGAAATAAGTAAAAATGAAGACAGAGGGATCAACCAGGATAGAATGACCTTGCGCTGTGTTTTTTTTAGTTACCTGTAATCTCCCTAAATATTGAAGCCTACAATCCTAGGCCTAGCTAAGGCAAGCACAGACAGGAAGCTAAATTGAGTCTCTGCACCCTTGTCAGCATAGTAGATATTGACATAATAAATATTACAAAGTGACAAAATTCTAATTGAATTTTCTACGCAATAAAGAGAACCTATAAAACATATACAATAGTCACAAAAGGCCTAATATTTCAATTATATACGGATGAAGGGAGTTAAAGCGTTTCGTTGATTATATTAAAAAAGATCTAGGTTACATGCAGTTGAGTGGTTTCCTTATGACGGGGTAGAAGTCTAATTAGGGCATTTTGATCAACCACGCAATTTCTGCATACCAAACGAAATAGGCTAAGAATAGAGCAACGAAACTTTGCTCTCTATGGTCAAAGCCAGCATAATGCTAGGATAACACAATTGAAGGTCAGATTGTTTAGTGCATCATTGAGTTTGTTTTTTTTTATAAATTACCCAAACTACGTAATACTTCGAAGAATTTCATGTAGTGTTTAATGAAATTGATATAAGTTTCAAAACTTTTAGTCTATATATTGACTAAAATAACTAAAATACAAATTAGCCCACGTTTTCCTAAGAGGGATTTACACAGCAAAAAATAAAATAAAATAAAATAAAATAACAGTTTGACTTACTATAAAGATCATAAACTGGATGTAAAACATAATTATAAACGTTATTATTTTCTTGGACTATTCCATTTCGTTGCAGGGAAATGGTAACAGGCTTAGTGTAAAAACCCTATTAACACAAAAGCGTCACGTATAAAATGAACACCAATGGAAGAAACGAAAGCTCGCGTTATATTTCTGAGAATTTGTATACATGGTTAATCGAGATTATCGTCAGCGTTACGATGAAAACCAACACTACAGACACCAGAAATAGGATAGGCCTATAGGCTTTGGCTTACTCCGGAAAATTACGAAGTAGGCCTAGAGTATTAAATTAAAATTGAAACAAAAGGCTATATTCATGAGTTTTTTAAATTACTGTATATCGTTTTACAGTTATTCTTTAACGTGCTGAGATTTGTCATTTCGTATATCATTTTAGTATAATTAGTTAAGATTATATAATAAGACTAACGACGAGAAGAGACACAGGCCTACATTCGATTTTCTTCATTGTCTATGTTTGTATACACGAGTTGCTGGATATAATATATGTATTATATGTAATGAAATGAAATAAAATATATGTTCGGATTGCAGAAAGTACGGTATGTTACATTATCTTTTACAATATAGTACTAAGCCAAAATTGTTCTCATCTTTATTACATTTCGTCGTCCATGGTGAAACTGTACACTCCGGGTACGCGCACGCAGATGAGGAACGCAACATTAATATAGGCCTACTATACCTGCTGTTTCAATTCAATACAATTCAAATTCAATTAGACTTTGTCCATATTAAATATATAATATGTAATAATATATTATAGGTTTTAAAGCATTACGTTACAGTAATGAAATAAAATTGAAACTACAATATTAAGTCTGTTCAAAAATGTATTGTCACATCAAATATCCTTGGTCACCTTTTATTTAAAAGAAATATTTAGCTATCTTTATTTATGTATTAGGTGCCAATTTTTTTTTTTATAAAAGGCAAGCGACTTAGCTAATGCTGCTAACTCTAATGACGACCTGAATGTCGGTGAATAATCTTTTAAATGTTACGTTTAATTTTATATTCATTAATGATGATCTAAATAATGCTTTGTCAAATCTTAAAATAAACAAAGCTACGGGTGTGTTCAGCCCAAAGCTCCATAAGGCAACTGTATCATCTATTTAGTAAGCTTCATCATTGCACAGAAAAAAAGTAAGAAAAAAACAGGACATAAAAAGCAACGAAAAGGAAGGGATGAACAGATGTCAAGCACATTAACCTCACATCGAACAGAAAGAATTACACGTTGAATGAGGTACAGAAACAAACAAAACAGTGCTTGTAATTTTAATTATTCTATTGCTCAGGATGAGGTCCCATCCGAATGTAAGCTGGGTAAGGTTATCCCCATACACAAAGGTTTCCTAAAGACAATATTACGAAAAATATTGACCTATCTCTGTTCTTCACGCATTAATGACGATTCACATTTCTTATCTCAAATAATCCATAAACTCAAATCAAATACCGGCCCAAACAAAGTTAATGGGAGAGACAGGTCCTAAACTAAAGAGGAGGCTCCAAATGCCATTGCTATAAATAGTTGTCTCTATAATATGGACAACGTATGACTACTGTACCTGTCTCTTATACACATCTAGATGTGTATAAGAGACAGCATATACATACTGATGTCACTAGGCCTACCGCCGCTAGACATGTCGTCAGCAGATCATGGTCAGACCTTGTTCCTTGCGTGAAAAAATGCAAAATTTCATCATCGGCGATTCACTTTGTTCATCATCAACGATTCATCTTTTCATCATCGATCATTGACTTTTTATCGGTTCACTTTTCATAATTAACGATTCAAGTTTTATCATCAAAGATTCACTTTTCACCATCAACTATTCACTTTTTATCATTAACGATTCACTTTTTCATAATCGATGAATTAGTTTTTTGTATTATCCATGATTCACTGGAAATCATGGAATTGTTGCTTAAACGGCGTTCCATATTTAAATAATATTCATCAGCATAGTTATTAATCATCATCAGCAAACATGTACGCATGACTCGTTAGTGGTGCAAACGGCACACGGCAAGTATAGGGATTTTTTTCTTTCCTTTTTTTTTTTTTTTTTTGCATATCTTACTATTACAAAAATTATCATTGTTATACTTTTGTGAAAAGGAAGTTAAATGTTACATTATTGAATTGAATTGAAGTACAGTATTCGTGTTAATTACAAGACTCTTCAAATCAGTATTTGCCAACCTGTATTCTTTACATGACAGCATTACATGCGACATATTAATGAAAAAAAACCCAACAAAATTATATTTACACAAATATTCTTCAATTCAATCTCTTGGGCTGGTTACTATCATCGACGATTCACTTGCTTCATCACCGACGATTCATGTGCTTCATCATCGACGATTCACGTGTTTCATCGTCGACGATTCACTTATTTCATCCCCGACGATTCACTTATTTCATCACCGACGATTCACTTTGTTTCATCATCGACGATTCACTTGTTTCATCATCGACGATTGACTTGTTTCATTACTGACTCTTTTTATTTCATCATCGACGATTTACTTTTTCATCGTTGACGGTTCATTGCTTATCACTGAATTGTTGCTTGCAATTTTCCTCGTGGCTGGTGAATTTAGTCTTTACCAGTTATTAAGGTTTGGGATTATCAGCATTGCAGTACAGAATAGATGTGATTAATTGTATTTACGTGACTTGCGAAACATGGCGAAACAGGTATTATGTTTTGGCTGTTCTTTCGTTGTTATCCAATATCCAGCCTTAAAAAGTAGCGGAATGTGGTCGTGATATATTATAGAAGCCTAGTGTATGAGATATGAGCACATTCCTGAAAGCGGTTTCAGAGGGGATAGGGGAAGTTACCCGGTAGCGATAGATAATAATAACAATAATAATAAAAATAATAAAATGATAATAATAATAATAATAACAACAATACCGTAATAATAATAATAATAATAATAATAATAATAACAACAATGTTGCAGCAGCTACCGTACATCAGCGCATTTTGACATTTAACCCTACCATGACCCTACCTATTACTCATGAGTGCTTTGCAGATAAAGTGTCTTGCTCAAGGACACAAATGAAATGCACAGAGCAAAGCATTGAAACAACCCCGAGGTTCCAAACTCGTCTCGGTGCACCAAATTAACAACGGCTTTAAATTTTGTACATCTGTCACTTTACTCACTTTCTCTTTAACTTCTTTTAAAATTGTTTGAATGTACGTATTGTTTGTATAAATATTGAATTGAAAAACAAAATGAAAATATAAATGTATTCCATGAATATTATTTTTTTTCAGATAGAACCAGAATTTTTTAGTTGTGTCATGTTCAGCAATTCAAAAGGGCAAACGTCTTCTTCTTATGGATAATGTATACAAACAGTATTTGGAGTATCTCTTAAAGTTTCGGTGGAATTCCGGGAGACAACTGTTGATTCTTTTGGAAAAATACTGTCTCAATGACAGTCTACCGTGCTGCTCAATATATAACAAATTATGTAACATATAATACCAACATGTATTTTGTAGACCACAGGTTTATGCTATTCTTCACAAACCCAGAAATAATTACAACGCTTCTAAATAATGGAGAATCTGCAGACGTTAGCAAACAAACGGTATTTGTTATTAACGCTAGTGGGTATAGCATTAAAACAAACCTAGTAGGTGACAGTTTTTCCAAATAATAATAACCCTCCGTTCCACCAAATTGTGACTGCTTTTTTAACTCCTCAAGCTTGTTTATTTGTACATTTGAATGTAAATTAACTTATCGAAAAGCCTTGGTAAATGTTTCTAAATACTCTCCAGTATTGTTAACCCATTAGATTTGAAATGGAGTGCCAGAAACAGATGAAAGTGTGAACATTTTGCATTGGGAATTGAAAACAGTGAGCATAAGACTCGTCGCATTAACACGGGCGTAGGTCTAGGAGCCATACAATGTTATTTTGGCCCATTAGTCATCGTAAGTTAAAGAAAACTCTTGAACTACAATCCAGCAATTAAAGTTTGTCTACAGTTTAAATATTTTCATACAGAAATTGCAACAGTTTTTACGCTGATTGTGCACCTACATCATCAACAACGATCCTCTCACTGTCAAGCGGATAGGCCAAGACAAAGCGATGGGCCTAAAAGCCATTCAAAACTCGTCATATTTTTTTGCCTGAATGAAAAAATCAAATTAACCTTAATCATATACATTTCGAAATGTATACATTGTTATAAAAAGCAGCTGCACTTTTTTAGAAGATTTAATATACACCAGTTTCGAAACTACTCAATGCATAGGCATAGGACTTTGGTTGGCGTTTGTTATTGTGATCGTACCAGCAATATGTTTGTGACATCATAGCTCTAATTCGTCTAGTGCTTAATGTACGCTAGCTGGTAACAGTCAAAACGTCGAAAGTAAATTCTCTTAATTCGTTAGTTTATGTAAAACGAAAGTTGAATTCATAGATTAAAAAGCATCACCCATATTATAATGTGAATGTTCTATTAAATTTGACTGGATATGAGTTATAATCCACAAAATATGAATAGATCTATCCTACCAGGTTTCCGTTATCAGTACAAAAGTTTAATAAATAATCTATTTTTGCTTTCCTCTACAATATATCGCATAAAATGGAAATTGTAATAAATATTAAATCTGTTTAAACGGTATACATATTACCATCAATACTGCCTACATAACACTTCAGGCAATACATGAATACATCACCGAAAGTCAAAGATGACTAACTATTGAAAATAAATAATTTGTTTGTCCCATATCTATACAAATGTACCATACATAAACTTTGCGTTTATAACAAATAATACTTATAATAATCATAATGATAATGTTTAAAATACACAGTAGAATAGCAAATGTATATTTTTAGTATAAAAATAAATAGCAATACTAATCGTTTAATCTAAATCAATTATTAATTGTTTTCTATTATTAAAAGATATTGATTCGTATTATAAAAATTATATTCAAGGCATATATGAAGTACTGATTTCAACAGTAATTAATTAATGTTTTTAAATATTTTAAATATCATTATTAGGTCTATAAAATTAAATTTATTTTACTTAGATGAACAGTATCGAGTAGCATATAAAAATTATAACAATTTGGGAATCCTGATAAATGCAAAATGTGATTCAATAGGCATACAGATCTTTAACTATTAAAAACTACTAAATAATATTATTTAAAATTAATTACAATAATTTATAATTTCAATACATTGAAATGATTGGTAAAAATTCTGAATTTATGAGTAAATTATATAAAATTATAGACCTTTATTTATGTGGAAAGGTAGACCAAATGGCCATGACACTAAGGACAGACTATTTCAGAACTGGAAATACATGTACAGTCTAGTTGGGATATAGGAGCAAGTAATGATTGTATACTTAACATTTTTACTGAACTAAAAAATCATAAATATGTAAAATGCTGTCGAGCCTTAATAGAAATATGATAAAGCAATTTGTTTTGGATAAAGGTTTTTCTTATATTTTTATACAGCATCTAATAGGGCTATCGTTTTTATCAGATATTTTCAAAGTTAGTCAAAAGAATTTGTACCATTTAAATAAAGTAATACTAGACAACAATTTTTCAGCAATGTGGTAGTTGCAACAGCCAGTCACAACTCAACTGCAAAAACATAATGAAAAATTGTGAAAAATAAATAACTGTTTACATCATGGCCTATTGCAAACACATTGTTATCCATTAAGTTATAATATTGGGACACAATCTTGTACCTTATTACGTTAAAAAAAATGGGTGGAGTCTCCTAACTATTGATCAGTTGACTGTATTTCAGTTTTGGTTCAGTCTCACGACAAAACTACTTCAGCGACTATTACTTATTAACGTATATTAATCGTGTCTGATTCTGCAGCACACAACAACCATTGCACAAAGATAGAAAGTACTGCATAACAGCTATTCTTTCCTTTCAATATCGCTTGATGGCAGAGTAGACAGTTTCTTCAATTCAGTCATATGATCGTGTTGTCTTCAAGTCAAAAGGTTCCATATGCCCGGTGGGAGTGAATTGCATATTTTAATTGTTCGTTGTTATACTGTATAGAGCTTAAATCGCACAACCGTGACTGGACTAAAACTCTGCAAAGAAGTGGAAGACGTTTTTTTATTCAATGACGGTGTTGGTTGGTAGAGTATTTTTGTCATTTTAATTTGTCACAGGGTCATTTGTCACATTTTGTCATTTTAATTTTAATCTGCTTGACAGAAATTTGCTAAGTTGATGATATAAGCTGATTGCTTATTTCTATTTTAAATTTGTAGAATTTACATTTTTAAATCTCATTTGTTTTGTAATTCAATATGGAGATTGTCCAAAATAAAATGAATGGATAGATAAATTAATTATTTGACTGATTGAATATGCATATTTTATACTCGGAAATTTATTATCAAATACTCATCAATTGCGTTCTGAGTCCTATGTACACAATACTAATTTTGAACATAATTTTATTTTGTTTGTAAAGGAAACGGTTCAAAGAAAATGTGCATATAATCTTGCAAATATGGATAATTTTTCATTCCTGATGATGACATAATTAATGTCGAAATATTGAATCCCGCAACGATGGCGTGTATTTCGATACTTGGAGTATGTATTATACTATCTTATTAAAGAAAATAATGATTTAAAATGGTGAGTACAGCTAATCTGACACGCACCAACTGTACTAAGCCACCCTAGTTTACCCATAATCCATTCACGATCCTGAAGACACATCACATCTACGGTAAGATATCTACAATCAGCTTTCCTATTATCATAACCTGAGAACATGGTTAATGCTACTTGATATTATACGTAAACTTACCATTTAATTTAGGCTTAGTAATAACTGACAGAATCATCACCCAAATCTTCGTTTATGAGGTCATTTGTTCTAAACCCACGATTCGGTAACCCATCAAATGGACTTGCACGAGAATTGTCTAAATAGCTAAACGGCACATGATAATCATAGATACCCTGTAAAGAAATGTAAAAGAAATTTGCATTATGCATGTTGTTGCTTTTATTATTATTAATAATAATAATAATAATAATAATAATAATAATAATAATAATAATAATTATTATTATTATTAACTTATTGTTATTATTATTATTTATAATTATTATTATTATTAGTTTTTTTTTTAAATGAAGGAACCGAAGAGCAAAAATTGATGTTTGTAGTGAGTATAATGATAATGATGATATTGATAATATTGAAGGTGATATGCTGATAGTGATAACTACATTGACAATTATATCTACTTACAATACTCTGCAGTTTAATAGGCCTAAGCGTAAGTGTATAGGGTATTTAGTTAAAGGTATACATACATGTTGTTCAGCGGCCTCCGTTCCGGTGACAACGAATGGTCTGATGAACTGACTACTACTAGATGTGTCATCGTTATACATATCAGGCCTCAGATTATCCTAGAAATACAAAAATTGGCATTTGAAAAATACAAATTCATGTGGAAGTTACCGGTATAGTGTCAAATTATACTACATGAGTGCCTATTGAAATCAATTTGTGACTTACAAGGCGACTAGACATGGCATTAATAGCCCGAGCTACATGAGCCATGTGACCATTTTCACGTTCGTCCATTACTTCTTCTGATGAGCTATTAGAATCATTCTGCGTACTTATGTTCCTGGTCGGGTTCCAGATGACCGCGGGATAACGAATGCTACTCGGCCAGGGCTGGGTGTCTTTTTGCTGCTGTCCTCTTTTTCGTCGCTTCAAAAGGAACAATAGGCATAGACAAGAAGCCAGAAGCACCACGAGGAATAAAATACTTCCAAATACCACTACTAAGACCCACAGAATTGTGTCACTGCCACTATCTGTAATTTTTATTTCACACATATCTCCACTGTAGCCGTCTAAGCAACTGTTAAATGAAAAATATTGTTAAATGTTATGATATGATTGATGCATACTTATACTATGATAAATATTACTCATTTTATACACACACTTTTAAATACGTAATTATACGGATCATTGTCCAACAATTAAGATAAAAGTTTGTGGAAGTGCACTGTCGGTGTACAAAGTGTGAACCATTTAATAGTTTAGAATTCATAAATCAGATCTAGGTTCATGATGTAGTATTAGGAATGTAAATTTTCATAATAATATTTTTCATAATTCAATTGCTTTTTATGACTTGATTTGTTGACGTATGACCTTAATTGCTATCATGACGTTATTCACAAAAATACATAATTGAGGGATACTGTTCATGTAGGCCCTAGTTATAAGGTGATAAATAACGTTTAATCTTGAAGTGTTCGGTGACTACTATAAGTAACCATAGCGCTTTAAACAACTAGAGTGCTGACTAGGCGACAAAGCAATGCAGATTTGTGTATGTGTACCATCCAAGATGCCCGTTTTAGGAAAGCAGCACCTCTGACTTACTACCATTTCATTAATCATTATTATTAATAATCTCAATAAATTATTAACCTATCATAGGCCATGTAAAGTATCTGATTTAAATATAAAGTACTTAGGAATGAAAATCGAAATCACGTACGGTACACTGCAACAATCGAGTTATGACATATCTGCATTCAAAACTTCAGTTGAGGGCTCAAATGAAATGAAGCTTAGCTTTTTATTGGCTAAATCTAAGGCAAACATCATGTATACACACCACTGATCTCTACTATAATAGCTGGATTGCTCATTGGCTGGTTTTAGTGAGGCCACCGGCGCCATGTTGGAGGGCATAAGTGACGTATCAATTTAGACAAGAGTGGTTAGATAATTTGTGAAAAAAATTCTTACGTTAAATCTGAATTTATTATTGAAACATATTATAAAGATCGTTATTTTTAACAATAATTTAAACAAATGCCAAAAGAAACTTGTTTAAAATGGTACTTAACTTGGGCCTTCCCAACATGGCGTCAGAGGCCTCACTTTTTCCTGTACAAGGATTGGCCGATGAGCAATACAGCTATTATAGTAGCGATCAGTGGGTACACACAAAGCGTATCTCAAACACCTAAAGGCCAACTCAGACAGCGTCGGCCGACGCAGCACGACCCGATTCATCGTCGGGGACAGTCTTAATCCGTCGTGAGAAATATTAAACATGTTTAATATTCTACTACGCGACTGCCCCCGACGCACACCATCGCGTCTGCGTTTAACTCACACAGGCCCGACGCGACAACAAATCGCGTCGGGCTGCGTCGTACGACGCTGTCTGAGTTGGGCCAAGGTAATTCAACAAAAGGACGCACATCTCGGGACATCAAAGGTTATAACTCTGGCATCGACATTCTAGGCGCACGTGCGTCCCTACACGCTGAACGTCACAAAAACCATAGCAACCAGACCAT